CGGAGAGTTTCAGAAATACTATTCTTCTAGTTTCTGCCTCTATCATTCCCACTTCCAGGATCATTCTTGCATTCCTCCAAGTGCAAGGATCCATGGGAATATGATCAGTTACTTATAATATACTATAGTCAGTTACTTATAATAAATGCTGGTGCCAAAATATTTATTGCTATAAGGATCCAAAACTTCTGGGTCACATATTTGCTTCTTTGGGGTTACCCATTTGGACTGATTCAAACCAGATTACTTGGCTTTGTCTATGGAAAAGAATGATTCTGGGACCAGATATGTTCTGGGTATGTTTTGAGCTTTTAATTCTGATTCAGAAACATGATCTAAATGTCCCAAAGTGGTTCAGAATCCTTTGGGGGCAGATCCAAGCCTTCTAGACTATCTCTGGGATGACTCCAGAATCACTTAAAGTTGAAGAGCCCCAGGCTCCACCTATATCCTCCTCAGGAATTATAGATTCTTTTCAAACTCTTAGGCTAAATTATTTTTAATTAAAGACTTGTCCCTAGTATAAGTCCCTTGCAGAAGGGGCTCTTTCTCAAGTTTTTCTCTCTAACATCTGAGTGACATTCTTAAGATTCAATCTGTTAGTCATCTTCAGTCAAATATACAAAACCTGCGACTAGAAAGGCTCCAAATGTACCTTAAAAAGTTAATGTAAACGTGTATTTGTGGGTGTATTTATCTCTACATAAATACATATGCAAATTCATAAACATGAAGAATTTAAAAATAACAGTATGAAGATTCCAGCTCTCATACCAAAGTAGTCCTTCTTAATCCAACAAAACATGTTTTACTTGCAACAAATAGAAGCTCCTCCCTGTCAACAAGTATAAAATATATATGCAAAAAAAAGTTGCCCTTGTAAACAGAGTAAAAGTTCCTCCCACAAATATGAAGGCACAGAGTTAGGTCCCATGGAAGCAGACATGCTCCTGGGGGCTTCCAGTCTGCTGGAGGCTTGGGAGGGGGTAGACACAGACAGAGACCACCCCCTTGGCTCAGAGATGGAAAGGAAACCAAAGGCAGATCATATGGACTACATTAATCTTTCATGAAATCATGAACCCACCCACCCAGAGGGTGGGGGTGGGGTCGGGGGAGTAAAACTAGCAGAAAACAATTACAACGCCTTTTTAACCACATTAACCAGCAAAGTAGAAACCTTACAAAGTGGAAACTCCACTACCACCTGTTTTTGTTAAGGACCATTTACTAAAGTAAAATGAGGCAGAGATTAAAGGATGTGATAGGTACTCCACATGGCCCCCATCTCCTCTTTCCTTCTAACAGTCTGTATCAGTGGTTCTCAGCTGGGGGTTGTGGTGCCTCCCAGGGCACATGTGACAATATGTGGAGACATTTTTAACCACAACTTGGGATGCTACTGGTAGCTAACGGGTAGAGGCCAGGGATGCTGCTAAATATCCTATAATGTACAAAACAGCCCCTAAAGCAAAGAATGACCTGTCCCAAAATGTCAATAATGCTGAGAATAAAAACTTAAAACCACTAAGTCTGTAGTATAGAAGCAATCAGTGCCACTTTAAGAAAAATTTTATAGGAATTTTCTCCTCCTGGATAAGACAGCTATACCTCCTAAAAATATCTGACAGATCCATAATATTAGGGAAAACAAAACATTATGAGAAAATTAGCACACAATTTTTTAAAATTTCAAATATTAACATGCAAATGAAAAATGAACTTGAAAGATGGAAAGGACAATTTTTTTGCTCAATTGATTTTGATCATCACCTGTTTCTACAACCACAAAAGCAAATGTAGTCACACTTCTGATTTAAGTCAAATCTGACAAAAGATTTATGAAACTGTTACTAAAAATAGACTGAAATATTAAAAATAGAAGAGTAACTTCTAGGATAACAAAAGAAAAACATGGCCACTGATTTCTGAGATGCTCAATTCCAATAAGTGATAGTCAAAGTTACTTTCCCACATTATCTAAAAGATATCTTTTTTGTGCTTTAAGGTTGAGAAAGGAAAATGTGAAAAAGAGATGAACTAAAAACTTTTTAGGTATTTATAATGTTATAATTCAATATATCCTAATACAAAAAGACAGATTTCCTATGAAATCATATCCACTGAGAAGCAGACTCTATACTAGTAAGAAACACTAAAACAGCAGAGCAGCTTTTATATGATTTTGATAATAAAGCCTTTAACTGGCCCCAAGCTTTGTTAAAAGGACATAAAAAAACACAAAGAATGAAAAGAGTATGATATCTATATAAGGGAATCTGACTTATTACAGTAAACAAAACACCTCAACATAAAAATATTTCCAAATCTTAATTAATGGAGTTAATGATACTATACATTTGCAGTAATGACTCCATCAAAATAATCATTTAAGAAGACAATTAAAGTACATTGAAATAGAATTGGTAGAAATGCAATTTGACCCCTAATTCTATCAAATCTGCCTCTGAAAGAGAAATATATGACAGTATATCCCACTTCTGGGTACTTGTTCAAAGAAATTCAAAACACTTATTCAAAAAGACATATGCATCCCTATGTTCATTGCAGCATTATTTACAATGCAAGATGTGGAAGCAACCTAAGTGTCCACCGTTAGACGATTAGATAAAGAAGATATGATACATAAATACTATGAAATCTTAATTGGCCATAAAAAAGAATGAAATCTTACTATTTGCAATAACATGGATGCACCTAGAAGGTACTATGCTAAGTGAAATAAGTTAGACAGAGAATGACAAATACCATATGATTTCACTTATATGTGGGATCTAAAGAACAGAATAAACTAACAAACAAAACAGAAAACACTCGAAGATACAGAAAACATTTTGATCATTGCCAGGTGGGAGGGAGATTTGGGAACTGGGTGAGAAAAGTGAAGGGGTTAGGAAGTACAGATTGGTAGTTACAGAATAGGCATGGAGATGTAAAGTACAGCATAGGGAATACAGTCAGTAATGTTATAATCATTACGGATGGTGCCAGGTGGGTACTAGATTAATGGGTGTGATCACTTTGTAAGGAATATAAATGTTTTATCACTATGCTGTACATCTGAAACGAATATCATATTGTATGTCAACTGCAATTAAAATTTTTCTAATGTGACAATATATCATTTCATTCAGGAAAATACAAGAAAAATTGGAAAATTCTTGTTTTCGGTAGTGAACAGACACATTAAAACACAATTCAACCAACCTATTTGAACTTTCTCCATCATCTTGTTTGTGTGGTTTTCTTTGGGGGACGGGGGTTGTTTTTCTTTGGTCATACAAAAAGCACACCAAAATTCCCTGTAACAGTCACTTCTACAATTACATTATTATTAAACAGCTAGCCATAGGACTTTTTGTGATAAACCCGACCAATAGGGAAGTGAATCTCATCACTGCCACCAATCTAACAGGAACCTAGCCCAGTGGTCGGCAAACTCATTAGTCAACAGAGCCAAATATCAACAGTACAATTGAAATTTCTTCTGAGAACCAAATTTTTTAAACTTAAACTATATAGGTAGGTACATCGTTATTAACTTAATTAGGGTACTCCTAAGCTGGCCTTTGCTAAAAACGTCCTCAATCTGATTGAGGTACTTTCGCTGAGGTCGACCCCTTCTAACTCTCCCACCCACACTCGTCCTGTATACTTGTTTCAGATAGACGAGTGTGGATGGGAGAGTTGGAAGGGGTCGACCTCAGCGAACGTACCTCAAAACAATGTACTACCTCCCCCCTGCGTCGCCCACTTCTTCTAAGGCCACTTCTTCAAAATAGACTTGCCCAGGCTGAAAACCAACTTCTGCGCATGGGCCACGAAGTTTCAATCGCACTGTACATGCGGGCCCGCACGTGGTATTTTGTGGAAGAGCCACACTCAAGGGGCCAAAGAGCCGCATGTGGCTCGCGAGCCGCGGTTTGCCGACCACTGACCTAGCCCAAAAGTAAGGAGGGGCAAATCATCTGAGAGCAGGAAGGTGATCAACTGCCTTAAGGCAATTTTACTCCTGGCCTGAAGCTACTCACAACTCTTGCCCCTCTATTCTTCTATCAAGAAAGCTGGAAAACAGAGAACTATCTTGCTCTTTTAAGTACATCTCCGACCTCTACCGCTACCCCTGCATGTTTTAGAGAGGAAAACACAGACCAAAATTAAAAAGATAACTGGACAAGTAAAAGACCCAATGAAAACCATCATTAAGTCACTGGTAAATTAGGGCACTTTCTTCAAATTAAGCTCTGTCAATTAGGCACTTAATAAAAACAAATGACATATATGCAGACATCTCAACAACTAAGAAAGATTAAAAACAAAAACAGAAGACAAGACTTATACTTACTACCTACATTTTGTTTTTTAAAATGTGATGTTATACTTTAGCCAGAAATGTTTGAAAGAAATACTATTTAAGAAGAAAAATACAGTATTTTCTTGTTCCTTAGGAATCAATACCCTAAGTTTCAGTGTTTTTAATATATACGTAATGCTCGGATATTGACTAAACAAGGAAAAATTAAGGCAGTGGCTTTAAGCTCAATAAAGGAAAAAACTGACTAACAAGCTTATCCGACATAAACACATCAAGCTTGTATTTGGATACAACATTGAATAATTATGGCTTTAAATATAAAATATGTTTCAAAATTCCACATTTCTTCAGTTATTATTTTTTTTATAGCTATGTGGACTTTGAATAGTCCATCTAGTTTTAAATAAAGGAATACTTTTCATATAATTTTGGAACAAAATGTGAATGGTCTTGATCTAGAACTACTGATTTGGATAGTAAATAATTATGTTCATATGTACCATAGACCTACTATTTTTAAAAGGAAGACTTATAACTGTCAAAATATAATTGCTAATGACTAATGTCCTTTGGAATTTTGCTACAAAACAGAAGATAGAAAGTTTTGAGGTACTGCCGCCTTAGAATCTTTCCAAGGTTTGGGTAAAAAAAAAAATAAAAAATGGAGGTTTAAAAAATTTTATTGTTGTTTTAAAAAAATCAGTGTTTTTTCTCTTCAGTTGTGAAGATCATTTTAAGTCTCCTCTCAGTCCCCATTGTATTGGTGTTCCTGAGCTCATCTCATCTGCATGTCACATGCAGCCATCTGCGGTTTCAGCCATTCTGTTTGGTGCTATGTCTTGTTATACCAATTCATGGAGCGTTTCACTGCCTTCACCCAGTTTTCCATACTCATTTCATATTCCTGCCATTTCTTCTGTGGCTTGAAAACCATTTCACTTTGTCTCAGTTTCTTTAGTTCCTCCTTGTCAGTCCAAAACCCTATAGATGAAAAAATTATTCTCAAATTTTAAAGCAAATAATGACTCCATAAAGTTTACCCACAAACCTATGTGAATTGGTACAAAGGTAAACAATTATTATTTTAAAACACAATCCAAAGTATTTTGCTGCTTTTGAATTTTGTTGGATTCACTGACCCAGGGAATGAATACAGCAGGATTTATAAGTCTTTTGGTTTTAACTATTAGCTTTATGTGTACATGGCAGAGCACCAAGATGCTTCTAGAACAACCATGCCTTGTCATCATCATTTAATTTCATGACTTGTTAAGAAAAAAAGAAAGCATATTTTCTTCTTATAGATTAAAAAAAACAAAGATAAGTTAAGAATGTATCTTGAGGGGAGAAACAACTCCTTAGAACAGGGGTGGGGAACCTTTTTTCCGCCAAGGGGCATTTGGATATTTATAACATCATTTGCTTAATTTAATTCACTTAATATAAACTTACGTTGCTATGAAAAAAAACTCCTAGATTTATTGAATTTTTAGTCCCACCTGTGGTTGCTTGGCAAGGCCAGATCAAAATATTTCTAGGGCCTTAAACGTTCCCCAACCTTGCCCTAGGTCAGTGATGGCGAACCTATGACACGCGTGACACGCGAACTCATTTTTTGGTTGATTTTTCTTTGTTAAATGGCATTTAAATATATAAAATAAATATCAAAAATATAACTCTCTGTTTTACTATGGTTGCAAATATCAAAAAATTTCTATATGTGACACGGCACCAGAGTTAAGTTAGGGTTTTTCAAAATGCTGACACACCAAGCTCAAAAGGTTTGCCATCACTGCCCTAGGTATATGCACAAAATTTAAAAATGGGACTTACTAGAATAAACTTTCTTTTCAAACTATTGCATTTCATACAAATTACTTAAGTTCCTATTCAATACAATGTTGGAGTTCTGGCACACATTGTTCTTTAAATAAGAAGCAAGAGCACACAACTATGAGCATAAGTGGTCTAAAACAGCAGAGAGGTCTTGGTAGTAAACTTGGCACATCTCACTTACTCTGAAGTACTTAGTTGACAAGTCTTGTGATGTACGTTTCCTCCTACCAATAAAACTGACACAAAATTCTTCCTTCTAAAATTTTCTGTCAAGTCACAATCTTTCTATTTACAAAGTTAACATTTTAGACTCTCTATATTTAAAGATATTGATAGAAGTTTCTAAGACTAAACATAGTTTTAATTAGTATAATACAGTTAGATAAATCTAGTCATAAAAATAAATGTGTTCTTAAAATCCGTATTTCCAGAATTTATTATTTAGACCAAGGCATACATATTTCTAAAGTTATTTTATTAAATATGCATGGAATAGATCCATGACTCTGAGTGACTTTTGAAAACACAGAGGATGTGCACAGCCTTCAGTCTCAAATGTCCGAAAGAGAAGCCTTCTGACCAGAAGTCTCAGCTATTCTGAGAAGGTGAAACTGCTTCCCTGCAGTGAGTGCAGTACCACTTCACTGAAAAGGTTTGAAATTAAAAACAGATATAATGAAGCAGATGAAACTCAAGCCACTATGATATGTGTATGAATAATGTGCACATGCTTGTTATTTAAATTATTTTAAATGTTCAAGAGAATCTGACATACTTCTTATATTAGAATTTTATGAGAATTTGATTTATTATAATTATAAGCATAATTTATTCAATTTGCAAGAGTTATTTAAGTACTTTAGATTTTTCTTGTTACAGGTCTAAGTTTGCTCAGTTAGTTATGTAAAACTAGAGGCCTGATGCATGAAATTTGTGCACAGGTAGGGTCCCTAGGCCTGGTAGTGATCAGGGCTGATAGGGGCCTTCCGGCTGCCGGCCGGGGCCTCCCTTCCCTGGCTGCCAGCTGCCAGCCAGGACATCGCTGCTGGCTACTGGCCCAGGCCTTCTTTTGTTCTGTGCCAGCCCCTGGTGTTCAGCACATGTTATAGCAAGTGATCAAACTCCCGGTCTCCCAGCCGACCTCCTAAGGGGACACTTTGCATATTAGCCTTTTATATATATAGACTAGAGGCCCGGTGCATGAATTCGTGCACAGGTGGGGTCCAATCGAGCCAGGCTGGCCAGGGGGAGGGGACGCAGGAGGTTGGCCGGCTGGCCCGCCCCCGATTGGGGTGGGAGGGGCTGATCAGGGGCGGAGATGACTGGGGGAGGGGCCACGGCCCCACCCCCTGGTCAAAGTCCCGGTCAAGGGGACAATTTGCATATTAGCCTTTTATTATATAGGATTATTTTTAAAAATCAACTATATTAAATTTTTAAGGGTTGATATATACAAAAAACTTTAAATTTGTAAATGGGAATGACCAAGGGAAAGTTTTTTTCTTAAATTTGAATTAATCAAATATTAGTCAATGAACAAATGAAAGTGTGATCATTTTATTCAAAGTTAACAGATTTTTAGTAAAATTAAGTTGAAGTTAAATTTACCAAGATTTCAGGTTTTTTGGATTTGTAACTTTACTATGTTAAGTCTTAGCCTAAAGTTTAACTGAAATATTCTGTTCTGCACAAACACTCCTCCCTTCCATACAGGAACACATTAAAACATTCCCAGTGTCCCAAGGGAGTATTTCATAAAGAACTCCCTAATGGTCTCTGCACTTCCATGCTTTACCCTCCAAATTAGTCCTTCCACTAACTTCCAAAGTGATCTGTTCAAATGGAGATCTATCCATGAGCCTCTCCTGCTCAGAGTCTTCAGTGGCTCTCCAATGCCTTGAAGATCAAGCCCCAAATCCTCTTCTTGAGGAATCCACCAGATCAGAAGTTAAAACCAAGGCCAAACAATGTGGGCAATTTACAGCCATCTTGTATCTATCAAGCCATTATCTTCCCCAGCCTAGGACACAAGAGCAGATAGTTAAAAAATTTCCCTAACAAAAGAATGCAAAAAGGGATGGGGAAAGGAAAGATAAAAAAGGTGGTGGGTTCACTCCTTAAGCAAAGAAGCTAGCAGTCTCAAGGCTTAGCAAAATAAAGTTGCCAGGTGCTTCTCATGATTTCTGGGAGGCCACAACAAAGTAACAGGGAACCTTAAGAAATAATCTGTACCAGAATATTCAGCAAAGTAATTTTAAGACATATGGACAGGAGGGTGTATGATGCCTCAGAACCCCACCCAGCATCCTCTTCTGATTGGCTGGGGCCCGTCTATACTTCATAACCCAGATGTATATGTTTACTTGCTTTGCTTTTTCAGTAAAGGTGCATGCTTTAATTGCCTGTATAAATTGACTTTTCACAATACAGTAAAGGTCTCTCATATAAATTAATTTATATGGGGAGATGAGGATCCAAATTGGTAACAGCCTAGAACAGTGATGGCGAACCTATGACATGTGTGTCAGAGGTGACACGCGAACTCATTTTTTTGGTTGATTTTTCTCTGTTAAATGGCATTTAAATATATAAAATAAATATCAAAAATATAAGTCTTTGTTTTACTATGGTTGCAAATATCAAAAAATTTCTATATGTGACACGGCACCAGAGTTAAGTTAGGGTTTTTCAAAAGGTTCGCCATCACTGGCCTAGAACATTCAGCAGTCTGCAGCCATTTAGTAAATTCTATCTTCCTTAAACCAAGGTCACTTAAAAAGTAAATGGTTTACACGATTCCTCCCCAACCAGAGGATAAATAGCTTAAGTCAATCTACACAAGCAGAGAGATAGCAGAAATCCAATTAGTGATGGAAAGCTTTGTCAAATAAACAATAACTATATTACACCTTCACTTATAACTCTAATTGCTATTCTAGAATATTGTATTGAGGAGGAAACTGGTCTTGCAGACTTGTTATCTAAATGCAGAGGCTATGGAACTGTGAACAATGCACTGCCCTGGGGGGGAAGGTTGTTATGCTGGTGCCAGGACGGACCATCTGATGTGGCCTGACACCTGGGAACCTTCCTGCAGGGCCACGAAGGGGGCAAGGGGCATATCTGCAAGACAAAGACCCCAGCCGGATATATATAGACAGGCTCTCTGCATGTTTCTTCACTCTGATTTGGAAATTATTCCCGGAGTCCACCAGTATTAATAAGCGGGGTCCCTCCCTTTCTCTAGGAAGCGTGCTTGGTATTTCTTTGCTCTTCCGCAACATATGGTTCCCTGAACCGGGAAGCTAACCGCATTTTGCTCTTGCCTCCGGTGAGTGGACAGGGTTTGGGGCCTGGGTGCGCAGGATAGGCCTCCGGGAGGTGCACGCTGCTGATTTTAGCAGAATTGAACCAGGGGGAACTCCAGGTGCTCCCGGACCTCAGCCCAGGACCTGGCCAGCATCTGGAGAAAGTGGATGGACACCTCTGGACCTGTTGGCAGAATCGGTAAGGTAGGGGCCCCAGTCAGTCAGGCCCACTCCAAGTGAGTGGAATGGGGAGCTTGATCCCCTCCCCAGAAGTCATCGGACTTCGTCAGGTAAATCAGGAATCAGGACTCTGGAGGTGAGTGAATTCAGATTCGATTAAGGAATTATGGGTTCACTCTTCTGTTTGTTTGTGTGTGGGACTAGTAAATTTGCTACCGAGAAGGGGGGCTCGATGCAAACTTAACTCCTCTGGTAGGTTCTCACTGAGACGTCGGTCAAGAATTCTGGTCTGGGGCGTGGGTGCCGGGAGTGCCCCCATGCCCATCTGGGGAGTTGGGCATTATCTGCTCAGCTCCAGTCTGGGCTAGTCTGAGAGAGTGAGAGTACAGATGTTTGTATGTCTTGGCATAATTATCTGCTGATTAACTGGTCTGTGTGAAAGCAAAAACTACTTTGATTTTCTGTTCGCTCATTTGGTTAAAACGTTTGATTTGCTGAAGGCTGAACTTGTGATGGTCTGCAAAAGTCTCAAGCAGCGCTGTTGAGTTAGTTTTCTCAGAGATGTTTGCTCTCTATCACGGGAGGAATCAGCCCACTTAGTAAAAATTTCTGTCTATGTTTGTATACTAGGGACTTCAGTTTGCTCTGTGATTTTGC